CTAGTATTCTTCAACAGAATCAAAAACTTTGCATCCATAAATGTTTATTACTATTGTTTCTGAGATATCTACTATTTCTGTTATGAAATAAATGTATGTATACTCTAGTGATCATCAAATCTAAACTGTTTATACATAAAAAGCAGTATATTTTAATGGGATCAAAGAAAAACATTGCTAAAATCAGCTAAACAAACTAGGTCTTGGGGTTTTTTTTTTCCTCACAGGGAAAAATAAAATAAGAATATCACTGCTGAAAATACACCCGTTAATAAAAACTAAATTTACATCAACAAATGTTGGTTCAATAAATTATTTTCTTGACCACCTGCTTTATTGTATTTATTTGCAATTACTGCTTTAATCTTAAAAAATGATACAAATGTGTACAATTACTGACTTCAATAAAAACCCAGAACTTGAATAATGAATATTATTCATTTACTTGGATGATACACATAGCTTGAACTTGCAACCAGCACAATAGTAGAGATAAAGAAAAAAGCACACAGCTTAAAATCAGCATTATTTTAAATTCTATCATTTATTGATCGTCTTCAATTAAGCCTCAGAAAAATTAAATACTGCCCCAGGGCATGAAAAATACACAAAATTGTATCAAAATATTTGTATTCCAAAGGGTATGTACATATTATACACTTTACATCTCTGTAAACTGGGATGTTTTTTCACCATCTTTAAGATAATTTTGTTTAATTAGTAACCCTAGATTTGTATTGTCATACATATACAATTTGATGCCATGTTTAACACAAATTCCTTTTAAAAATGTATAAAGATATAGCTCAAAACATTTACAAAAGCAAATTACCATCAGGTTAGTACAAAATGAATTATATTACATTCATATAAAAAGATTAAGAGAAATTTTCCATTTTGGTTGTTGTGTTTCTTAAAAGAGAAAAAGGGAAGAGATACTCCATCGCTGAGCATTTTTTTTCCCTGTGATGGACATAAAGTGAAATTCCACCCCTGATCTGAAGAGTGTTTTGTGTTTCTGAGAGACTTTGTAGAAGATTGTCCAACTAGTCTGTTCATGAAACTTCCCAACCTTTTGATTCCAGCTCTCAGAATTCTCAGCAACAGCTTTGGGAATTGGGAATTCTGGGAATTGAAGTCTACGCATCTACATGCCCAGGTTGGGGAAGACTGCCATAAATAACTGAAACCTCCAAGGATGTAGGTACGTATGCATATGGGTTTATGTGCATATACTGCATGTTACAAACATTTCACAAACACCACCCCATCCCCAGTGCACTGTGATAAGGGAGAAACCCCCCCCAGAAAGCAGTATAGCAGTACAAACTGAAAGCCAATATAAAAATAATGAAATCAATATATAACATTGGCATACATAGCATTATTGGACGTGAGCAGAAACCTGGAATATAAAAAAGATGGCTAGCAACTTAAATACCTGCCAAGGGCTGCTCTTGGGAGTTTTTCCCAATGTGTGCAGATCTGAAGGAAACTCACTCTTTTATGCAAAAAATGAGGTGGAGAATTATAACTGAGGGAGATGGATGTTCGGAGTGGGATTTTGTCAAGGCTCTGCGACATGGGAGAGAAGCTTCTTCCCATGAGCTGCATAGAATATGTTACTAGGTTGAAGCAGGTAAGGTCAGAGTAGACTGAGTTTGGGAACAATCTTTTACTTCCCAGGTGGTTGCATAGCATCAGTGACGCTGATAGCATAAGGCAGTGTTGTCCAAACTTGGCCACTTTAAGATGAGTGGACTTCAGCTT